CACACACACACACACTGTATTTTCTATATAATATAGGCCTAAGGCCTAAGTGGACAAGTCTACTTTCAGTTTTTTACCTTTTGTGCTGTACTGCCAGTTCTCATGGTGGGCTTTACTCTGTTCCCTGTTTGGGGACAGTGGAACCTCTTTGTCCTCTCCCTCTTTCAGGCCCTCCTCCGGCCTTGACATCTGCCTTTCTGTCTTCCCAAACTTCTCATCCAGCTTTTTGAGTTTTTCAGCACATGCAGCCAATCGTTCCTCACGGGCACGCCTCTCTTCCTCCTCCCTGCGTCTGCGGGCCCTCTCAACAGCCTCTGACAGCTCAGGGGATACATATTTTGCCCTAGCTGGCCCTTGAGTTTGAGATTGGCGCTGGTGATCTTCCTGGTCAGTCAGCGGCTCACCTTGGATTTTCTGCTGGGCCTGGAGATAGAACAGAGGCATTTACTCTAGGGAGGGCGGCTGCTTTATGTAATTTGGGTGGCCTTCTTGGAAAGACACAGGAACAATCCCTCAATTTCTTTTGTTTCTTATGTGTATGTGTCTCAAAGTATATAAAAACATTTTCATAATATGTCCTTTGAGAAAAGGTTTTAACTAAGAAATAATACATTTTTACTCAAGGATTTGCTGTTTGTTCTGTTTATCCCAAGCATTGACATTTTAGGTAACAAGAATTAATTGTAAGTATTCAATTCAAAAACATGTCTAGATAAAGTTAGTTAAAATACTTTGTTTCACGTAGTTTATTTTAGGGAATTTGTCTGACCAATTGTTCACATTGAAATTGGCTAAAAAACAAAGGGATAATCTGTATTTCCATTATTTCTGTCACATCGTTTTCACTTACCAAGCATAAGGCTTGGTAAGTAAAAAAGTAGTCAGACACACATCTCTATGGTTACCGCAAGGTCATCACTCCCAATTCACAATGACAGTCTCACTCGAGGGGGTGTGAAGGCACACTGCTATTCATACACTTCTTTAGTGTTTCCTTATCCTCCACAGTGACAGAGGGATTAAAGCACAAGATGCGATGTGATTTAACTGTGGATAACATCATAATGAGTTAATCTTAGATAAGTAATCTCAAAAGGGGGAAGATGAAAGTGGAAAAACACAGTATACTGTAGTGTGTAGTTACCGGGGTGTCCGTAGAGATATATCTGCCGTTGGTCTTCCTGGGAGGTTCGTGATGGTGGTAAGAATAACTCTCCTCTGGGCCCTCCTGGGGGTAAGATACCTCACCTGAACTTAGGGAGGACTGGCAGTCACGCTGGATCTCCCTCTCCCTCTCCCTCTCCCATTCAGTCCTAAAAAATAATGACAAAATTAAACCAGGAACCTCTGTGTGAGCTTATTTAGAGGAATAATGGGCTAAGAAGGAAAGAGATCTCACCACATCTTGTTTTTATCACCGTGTTCGTCTTCGTCATCACTGAACTTGAGCTTCTCACTATAATCAACTTCCTCATGCAGTCCTGAAAAAGCAACAAACTAACAGTCAGCAACAGTGCTGTGGGATGGGATGTTGAGCACTGGGAACGGGCAATGGCATCCCATCAGCATGTTCTCAGCTGGTTAACCATCCTACTTTCATATTCATGGAGTGGAATAAAATTAGCACTGTTTACCTACACATATGTACTTAGCTGTACACCTATTTTCATCTTATTGCTTGCCTAGTATACTATGGATGCAGGCTATGGAGATACTGTACATGGAGTACTGAAGTCTTATTACAGGAGTTAGAGCAGCGAATGGTAATAATTGCTGGCCTATGATGACTAATTCAACAGTTCACATGCAAACTATGGCGTGAGTAAATATTCAGAAGCTGAGGAAGAAACTTAATGTGTCACAAACATTACGCAGTGTACTGAAATCATATTTCTCCTCACTATAAGAGGGAGCTGGAGGCAGTTCAACAAGTCTAAGAAATACTGACCAGCCCATCCATCCTCGCAGTCATTGTCAAGCTCATCCAGATCCTTCAGGTCCTCTGGATTAATGATGGCTGGGCGTTGTGGTCTTTCACCAGGCCTGCGGATGGGCTGAGAAGACAGTCGAGGTGCAGCACGGACAAAGCGGTTCTCTCTTTTCACATCACCACTGCAATTATAGATGGTTAAAAAAAACAAATTAGCAATTGCCAGAAGTCAGAAAACCTCTTGGTCAAACTGCTTAATTAATGGATAAAAGATCTCACGTTAATGAGAGCGAATGTACTTACTTGACTTGAAGTTCAGGTTTGGCGTAGCTCTGTCTAAACGCGGGTTTGCTGTCAAATCGGGCTGGGGCTGCAACGGTGGTAGGAACATGTTCTGTACCTGGGGTTTCACGTGTCTCTTTAGAGCACATCTGAAAACAGCAGGATGAAATGCAATGAGCCACCAAAATAATTGTTTCTGATAACTGTTTCTGACTATCCCACAGCTGATTTTGTTAAATTAAACCAGTAGGCTGTATTTGAAGCCTTTAAAAACAATGGATTTAAGGAGTCATAGTACTTACAAATGCGGGCAACATGTCATGGTAGACAGCAGTCGAAGTGTGGTGAAGCTGATACTGCAGGGCAGTAGGGACGGTTGTTCTACGGACAGGCTGGGTGGGTCGCAAGGAAGGCTCCTTTGGGTCAAGGACTGGTGACACTGGAGTCACTACACTAGAAGAGGTTGTGCCGGTGGCAGAGGAGGGGTGAGATGAGGCTGGAGGGGTGCCAGTCTCACCCAGGGCAGTGATCTTACCCTCAGGATCTGCTGGCAGGCCGAGGGTCAGGGACGAGGGCTGAAGGTTCCTGCCACCACCTTCCCTCCAGCTCGTCACATCTTGAAGAAATTTCAGAAATAAAAATGAATAAACTTCACATGGAATAATTTGCACTGACAAACAACCACACGGTCATCTCCATGTCTTTAATGTCAGGAGTTATTCACATGCTGCTAAGTCAATCAATGCTCTTTGTATCACTAAAACAGCCCATGCAGAACATCCCAAAATGTCTGTACACACATAAAAAACAAAAACAGCAGCTATTATCGCTTCTACAATAGAGACAATTGTCGAAACCAGGGATGGCAGATGCGAGTTAGTGAGTATAAGTATGTCAGCGGGTCTGTTGTGGAGCTCAACTAGTTGTTAATGTGTTTAATCAGCATCATTAAATCCCAGATAATCAAAACTCTGCCGTCGCCAATTTAATCATTTGTTTTCCATACTTTTATCTTTGAGACTGGCAGCCAATTCCTGAGAGTTGAGACTTACTCTGGGGGCGGAGGCTTGGTCCGGGCCCATACGACGGATCGAAGCCGCTTCTTTCCTTGCCAGCCCTGTCCTGTTCTCCAGCTGCCTTCAGCGTGGGAAATTCCTCGTGAGAGAAGGGCTGAAGTCGGTTTGAGGCCCTTAAACCTGATGTTGTTGAAGGAAGTGGCATAAAGAAAGACGTTCATCTGACTTGTACAAACTGAGGACTGTTGTACTAATTGGCAAAGACATGTGGGGGGTCACAACCCGGACAGCATACCATTCAGGATTAGAATGTTGTTTGATTTTAAACAAACACCCCCCCTTCAATTATAGATAAATTAGGGGACTCACCATCTTGCTCTACTGCCTTTCCATTTAGCTGGGCCCATTGCTTTGGTCCACCTGTGTTTGTGTTCTGTGAAAGTGAAGAAAACCAAGGTCATAGTCTAATAGCTGCATTACCCCAAAATTCCACCAGACATTGCCGCAAAGCTTTCCGGCTCTGCTGCGTTCACTGGACCTCATCCCACCCGTTCAAGGTAATGCTTTAAATTGCACCAGAAGCGGTGTGTCCCAGAAGGGGCCCTCCACTATGCTCCGGCAGGAAGCCACACACCGTAACAGCATAAAGAATACGGTCTATTTTCTCAATACAATACTGCGTGCAGACTCCAGATCGAATTGAGGGTAAGGGGCAGGTTAGAGGAGATTTTTAGCGGAAAAACACACTGTTTTGTATCCTTTTTAAAGACAGAACACATACAGACTATAACATACAACAACATATGGCAGGCAACACACTCCTAAGACACTCCGCTTCTAAAAAGCGGTCGGTGGATTTGAAGACAACCCGCAACATTAGAAAGCCGCGCCCGGTGGAATTTCTGGGTTTTTCTTGACTCTTTGGATTTAACTAATGTAATCTGCACTAGAGCTGCAGTTTTGCATTGCTAGGGCTTCTTGAAGATCAACAGGAGTCAGTTTAAAACACAATATTCTGGAGGCAATGTCCCATGTTAACCATAGCTGCATATACACACCTCCTGGTTGGCTACCGGTGAGGGCTTCTGAAGATTGGAGACAGATTTCTGTAAAGCCAGCTGTGGCTGCAACTCCGGCAGCTGTGGTATTGATGCAATAGAACTGCAAACAAAAAAGGAAAAAGCTTAGTTTTGTGAAAACCAAAAACTACGGAGGCTGTCAGAATACCATTGCAGTGCAAGTATTATCGATTAATCTTAAAAATGACTTGTAGCACATTTAATTTGCCTGAACTTTTATTGTTAGATAAGAAGGTAGTTTGCAGTCTCCTCTTACCTCTTTTGATCGGGTTGTTCCTGCTTGTTCGCCCATCCTGTACCGTCTTTAGGCACAATAATCACGTTGGGATCGTTTCCTTTGTTTTCGGACTTCAAGCTCGGCAGGTGAGCAGGTGGGGGCATGCGCCGGGCTGTGGCCACTTTGCCAAGACTCTGCAAGCCATGTCGCGGAACTACTGGGAGAGAAAACACAGGTAGGTAAAGCACTGGCAAGTGAGATTAACAAAGGGATTGAAACAGATTAACAGACATGTAAGGAAAGTAATGAAGTATTGAGGCGAGAAACAACATAAACAAACGTACCTGTGTTTTTCTGAGTTTCTATTGATTTTCCCTTGTACTTGTCAAATAGGCTGAGTGAGGAATACTTGCTTTTCCCATCCTTGGACTTGGTTATTTGCCCCAAACGATCGGACATTGCGATGTAATGTCATCGAGTATGGAAATTTTTCTTTGCGCCTCTTCCCAGTGCCTTCTGATTCTACAAAGAGAGGAGGAGAATAAATGTCCACCTTGAGTACAGTCCATAGTTTCGGGAATTTTGTCACAATATGTTTGTGGTGGAGGTTGTTACCATGTGAAGTCTGTCAAAACTAAATTTGAAATGTTTGCCACAATAAACCAAAGATACAATGTGTTAAAATAAATTATTATACAAATTTCTGGCTGCAAGGGGGCCAATTCTAATTCAAGATGAAACACAACATACAGGAGTAATGTAAACGTAATATTCCTATTTTCAGTTTTAATAAAAAATAAACAAAATAACTGACACTGTCAAATGACATTTTCAAGGTTTTGTGCAGCACAAACAAAACTCCACTTGTACTCAGATAGTAGCAGTCCTTTCAGAGGAAAATAGCTCCAGACCAAGGCTCATAAATCTGAAAATATTTGTGCCTCTAGTCACAACTGAGAAATATATATTTTGATTTGGGTCAACTGGCCATTTAATATTAATTAGCCACAGCTGATAAAATCTGTCCATGAAGGTTGTCATTGCAACAAGAGAAATTGAAGCTTGACAACTAAAAATAACCACCGTTCAGCACATGTGGCTGACTGTCGCTCATGGTTTGTGCTCGGTGTGTAGCACTGATGGGTACAGTATAGTCTGCAGTGACCATTCAGCCTGAATCGGCAGGTGGCGGTGGATTAGAGAGATTTCTGATTGTCTTTTGAGCCCCTTTTACGCGTTTAGATGCCTTTTCTTCTTCCTCAATCAAAGCAGTCTGAAAATGCCAGTGCAAAGCAAATAAAAGGAAGGCAAAGCAAATCTTTATAATACCAGTTGCATCTTTTAAATCAGAAATAATACGCGTATTGTATGTTTGTATCGGTGTATTGTGAGTATATGAATTAAATGCTTAATCAGATTCAACATTTATGTAAATATGGTTGGACAGTTTGTTCTGATTGTCTCTGATGTTTTGTAAATTAGAAACAGAGTGACGAGTTAGTTCCTCACACAGGTGCAGAACGTACATGCATGTTGGTGGTCATATGGGCACTGTGTATAGTTTCTGCAATGTGTTCCTGTGCAACTTTTAACAAAAGATGTGAGCCCAATGTGAGGTGACGCATCAATCGGCCTTTGTCGGTGCTAGTTCTTCCGTATGTCAGGGCCCTGGCCACACAGAGATCATAAGCATTTCCACTGCGACCTCAGCAACATCACAGTTGCACAGAAAGCCGCTTGCTGCATGTCAGCTCTGATCACAGTTACTCACCACGGGTATCATAAACACGGAGAAAATACAGGTAAACAAAGTGCTTCAAAAATACCAATCGAAACAGGCAGTTTTATGCCTTAAATGCACTTTACGTTAAATTAAAAAAAATGGGAAATGCCCGATTTTTACATCTGCTGTGGAACTTAACTTCAACTTTAGTTTTTGCTTGTTCATCAATCAGCGGATCCCCACTTATTTGCATGTTTGAGAGAAAATAATTACAGTGAAAAGAGCTCGGGTATGTGGATTATTTGTTCTATGATTTGAACGCCATAAAATGAAATAAATGTGGCACCTCATCACCGAGTGTCAGCCGCAGATATCCCAAAACCTTTACTGCAACTATTTGTATGGCGACACACCACTAGAGGCAAGGAGGGAAATGTTTTAACATGATTTGACAGAACTGTCCGCTTTGAATGAGTGACATGTTCAACACCGAATTCAACCCAAAGTTAAGGCCAAGTTCTTGTTGGCAGGAAGTACGACTCATGATGTTGCCATGCAAGGAAACCTCTCTCTTTCCTGGTTGAAACTCCATTTCCATCTATTCTTCCCTTGCTGTTGAGATACTTCATATAACTGATGTTTGGGGCATTGTGTATGTTTTAGTAAGCTATATATATAGGCTGTGTGCTCATCCAAAGTTTACATCTGACAAAATCAAAATCACAAGTTACAGACTTGAAAAACTTAAAATCGTTTGCTCAAAAACTCGCTGTTACCAAACAATATGCCAACACACATTTTTCTGGGCCTGCCATAGTGAAATATTTAAAATTAAGAGGGATTTTCTCATTTATTTGCTCGCTTTCTCTACACCTGAAACAATCACTTCTTGCATTAGCACAACATCTACAGACCTGTTTCCTGTAAGCAATTAGGTTTTATTTTACATGAAATGGTTTTAACAATCAAATCATTTTAAGTGCACACAGCTGCCATGTGTTTTCTAGATTCATGTTGTGTTACATGGCCTAACATGTCCATCAAGTTGAACATTTATATGATGGCTACTTGCGCTCACATTTCAACGCGTTGCTTAATACAAGTAGCAAAAACAATATAAACTAGCAGACACAAGGCGTTTAAAACGTGGGATATATTAAAATATATGTCTTTAAATAGCGGTGGCTACACACCAACAATGTTTTGGATATTTTATACGCAAATCCATGCAAATACACGTCGTTGTTTGAGCTGAATACCAGACAAACCACAAGGTAACGCTCGTTTTATCGGAGGCCGCTCGGTTAAAGCTCCGCAGAGGCGTTTTACCAGGACTGCCAAAGAAAAACTAAATATCCGTCCATTAAGGTCGGTTTAGTCAAGGATTAAAACAGATGAAGCCAGGCCACTTCCTTTTGGTTTAATCTCTGAAGAAAAAAAACGTGTAATTAGTAAAAATTGATCACAAAATTATACATTTAGCGTTAGTGAATGCTAAATTAGATAGGCTAACGCTATGACAGCTAACATGAGCCCTTTCTTGCATTTATTTTACGTTTTAAACGTTATTTCTACCAGTCAGCCAAACAAAAACCACTTTAATACTATAACTAAACACACTGGCCACATCTATAACATATTTTTCCGAGAGCAAAACAACATTTTGACCTCTCTAACGTTGTCGTTGCCCCATTGAAAGCTAATGCTAATCCCAGCACATGAAACTGACGATAGCTGCACGAAAACAAAAACAATCAACGCAGTTTTTTTCTGCTGGCAACGTAAAACACCAAAGAGGAGTCGGGTCAGTGTAGAAGTCGACCAACATTATCTTAAAGTGGAGGCTGCGTAACAACACGAAGACGACAAGAAGGAGGTGCAGTTGCTAGCCGCCGCTAGTAAAAGCAGCTATGTAAACATCGTCTTGTGGAGCTGCAACTTAAATCATTAATGTCTCCACGTTACACTGAAGATACGAGGACGCTGATTTTTCGGTTTCTTCAAGCAAGCACGCAGAAAAAAAAAAAAAAAACAGAAGTCAACCAAATTGCTCCGACTTGTTCCGGCAACTAGCGAAACGACAATCCCGTTTAACTTCCCAGTCTAGTGTTCAACAACAACCTTGACAGGCCGGGGTTGTTGTTTTTTTAGCGCTGTGGTGCTTGATATTACTAAACGCGGTTGTTTTGTGGCATATATGTATAATACACCCCCACCCGGGCTAATATTTTCAACCTTTCTCGGCTTTCAGAGCGGTCAGACGACAGGGATGGAAATGTAGGACAAGGCGATTAAAAATGGCTGCTGCACAGAACAAAGCAACAATAAAACTAGGCAGCGGAGAAAGACGAGCGAAAACTGGAGGTTTTAACCCCGCCGCACGCATCCATAACTCACCGATTCAACGACTTAGTGTACCTTCTGATCAATGACAGTGATATATTTCCACAAACTGTTGTCTAATCAAAGGATGGATGGCGATTGTAAAGCCCGATCTTCGTAGGTTGAACCGATCGCAGTGTTGTTGCTGGGATCCTACCCGGCCTGGAAATGAACAGCGCCGTGTGAAGGCTGGATCGGCTCGCCTCTGAGCGTCTTACGTCACCGCACGACGTTGGCAGGGGGACGTAAACGAGCGCCCCCTGCTGGTCGAGTTCAGCAAACACACCCTTTTTTTTTTTTTTTTTT